GGAGGTAAGAAAGAGAAAGAAGCGGGAGGAATGAGAAAGAAAAAGAGAAAGTACAACAGACAGAGAGAATCTCCGAAGGTGGAGGCGGAGGATGGTATCGCGGCGAGGGGGTTACGACGGGGGGGGTGGGAGCGCGAAGAGGGGGTAGAGAGACGTAGCCCGCGAAGAAACAGATAAATATAGATATTTTTCCTTCGGCCGGCCACCTGAGGAGGGGGTGCAAGTAAGAGGGCGACGGAGACGGTCCAAGGGTGGGAGAGAAGGCGGCAAGGAAGTAGAAGGGGGTGAGGGAGTGTGTTGCACGCTCGCTTCCCGCCCCCCAACCGAATTGGAAAAATGGAAATAATAAGAGTCGCCTCCTAGGGAGTTGCATGGCGCGCTGTACGAGAGTTTGGGGCCGGGGGGATGGGGGAGGAGGAGAAAGAGGAGGAGGAGGAGGAGGAGGAGGAGGAGGAGGAGGAGGAGGCGGTGGTGGCGGCGGCGGCGGCGGCGGCGGCGGCGGCGGCGGCGGTGGCGGCGGCAGCGGCGGCGGGGTGGTTAGAGAGAAACGGCGGTGGAAGTGGGTGGATGGGGTGGTAGGAATTGTGCGCAGTGCAGCATGCGCTCTGACGACCAGAAAGCACACATCGAGGAATCGATGTGTGCGAGTGTCACGTGTGCTCCGCGCGGTGGCGGCAGTGGGGGTGGCTTTGGAAGATCGCGGCAATGCCGTGTGTACACGCGCATCTCCGTGTGTTCGCCGAGGAATACTTTGACGAATGTGTCGAGAGCAACATGGCCACCGCTAAGCGCCACACAGACTTTTCGGCGTTCGCCGCATAAATTAAGCACCCCCGCAACTACGGTGCGGATGCGGTGGTATGCTGATAACGGCGACGGCGGCGGCGGCGGCGGCGGCGGCGGCGACGACGCTGGTGGCGGTACGACCAAGTCCGTTTAACGCGCGCCAACTTACATACTCATACACATACACACAGACACACTCCCACACTCGACACACGTACAGATACAATCGCTCTTTCCCCGAAGATCATTTATTCACCTTATACCGGGGTTCTGAAAGGGGTGCCGAAGGGAAAACGCGCGCTCGAAAACGATCTCGGTCCATTTCAGTTTACACGCTAAGCGTCCGAATCACCGCTCGTGCTCGAAACGCGCGCACGATTGTCAAAAGCGCCTCGCGAGTCATTCACGGCGAGCAGATGACGGGCGGCGGGCAACGATAATTCGATTAATCTTCCATCGGTCATCCGGCTTCTGTGGGAAGCCCTCTCCCCCTCGCCGCTTTTCCGAAAGTTAGACGTCATGGACGGGCGCGCGCACGCGCGCGCGAGAAAGTTCACTTAAATATCAAACAACACCTGATTACCTCCGACGAGTCCCGAGCGTTATGCGCTCGTTCCGATCGATCGGCGTAAAAGATTCAGAGCAGCCATCCCGGAGCGCGGAATAATCGGCGCCGCAAATACACCTTAGCCTCGTTTTGCGAGAGAACGCTCGCAAATAACCGACGGGCCAGCCAGAGGTGCCCGCCGATAACACACAGGTGCAGGTAGCGACGCGCTTGTGTTCTCGCTTTCGGCATCGGCTGCTCCGGCGGTTTTCGCTCGAATGTACGCGCGCCGAAGAGCCTCCGGAAAGACCGGGAGGAAAGGTGGAACAGCAGAAAGAACGTGACTCTCCAGCGTCCCGCACGATCCCATTCTCTATCTCGGCGACGAATGCACAAACTCAGAGAGAGAGAGAGAGAGAGAGGGAGGGGGGGGGGGGGGGGTGCGAAGAAGAGCGCGGCGCACTCGCCATCTAATACTTCTAACGGCGTATCCCTAATTACCATTATAGCATTGGTATGCAGATAGCTTTCGCACCGGCGGAGAACCCTTCCGCCCTAAATAGCCCGATCAGCCCGGCGGTGCGTCCGCGTCGTCTCCATTGCGGTGTACCATTCGACGCACAATATTATTTGTGTTTTGGTTTTCGGGGCGGAGCAGCTCGCCAGAGAGAGAGAGAGAGAGTGTGAGAGAGAGAGAGAGAGAGAGAGACAGAGGAATTCCACACAATTGGCCCGGGCGCAACGAGCCTGGTTCTTCTTCCCCGTCCTTTGATTCCTCAGATGTGGGCCGCCTCTCTGTCGCACGGCAACGTCGTCCTCCGGGAAGCGCGCGCCCCGCGTGTCCCTCTTTTTCCATTCATAATCCGCCGAGTGTATTACCGTTATTACGCCCGGCACGCATCGGCGGATGCGTGGCAGCCGCTCTCGCGTGAGGAGTCACCCTTTCGAGTGCTGCTCCGAGTGGCGCACGCAATCGTCTTACGTCGCCGGTCCCCCCCCCCCCTTATTTCGTTATTGCTCGCGAGCAATAACAGCACGTTATGACGCGGAATATCGTCGCGGCGTGAAGGCGGACCGCGCTCAGTCGCGTCGCTACGCTCGTCTGCGCCCTTCGGCGGACTCGTGCCTTCCCACAAGAGGCGCGCAACGAGGCGCGAAACGACGAGA